ATTGAGAGCATATGCACCAAAGACAAATTCCTTGTGTGTCCAATCACGCTTGGCCAATAAAGAATTCTATTCAATTCTGTTCTATTCTGTTATGTTCTGTTATGTTCTATAAAACTGTCTCAAGGATGCTTTCATGTCAACCCTTCTTCAAAAAGCTTAAAAATCTGTTTTATTCAAATAGTCATTACACAATCACTAAGGAGTAAAATTATTTGTTTCACTGCCTAATTCCAGGATGTGAGATAAAGGCATTTAAAAGAACAAAAAACAAAATTGAAATAATTTCTATAATATGATGTTTTGATATAGTATGGAAGTGTGATCTAGAGATTTCAGGACTTTGCTTCTTGGGAAGTAGATCAATTTCATAGGATCATAGGACTGGAAGAGATCATTGAAGTCTTCTAGAGAATGAGAATAAATTGACAGCCACTTCCTTCAATTATTGGAAGACTACTATCATGTCCTCTGAGCCTTCTGTTTATTAGGCTAAACATACCTCTTAGCCATTCAACATTTGGTTCAGCCTCAAGACCCCATAACAAATCTGGCTTCCCCATTGACCTTGCTTGTCAGATTGCAAAAGGTGATCACATGACCCCAGGACACTGCAACCATCGTAAATATGAATCAATTGCCAAGCATCTGAATTTTGATAATGTGACCATGGGGATGCAGCAACAATCCTAAATGTTAAAAACAGTCACAAGTCACTTTTTTCAATGCCGTTGTAACTTTGAATGGTCACTAACTGAACTATTTTTAAGTCAGGACTACCAGTGTGTATGCCAAAGAGCATTAGCTCATAAAATCACACGCTTAGAAGGGGCCTTGGAGACCTTTTAGTTTGTAGGAAGTTAAAAGCCACCCCACTCCTAGAAAAATGAAATATTTTGGGAAATATTAAAAAGGGCAGAATATTTCCTCTAAAAGGGAGGCAGAAACTCAGCTCCCCCCATCCTTTGTCAATGAGCCATTAAGGCCTGGGGCAGTCTATTCTACATAACAAAGGTAGGATTCTACCCATCTCACCACATGGCACCTGGGAGGATTGCATCAGCCAGCAGGACAAATGGGCTTGGGTGTCAGCACAGCCTACAGAATTGCCCCTGCACCACCCTCTGCGAGTCTCACCACCAATCAGAATGCATTTCTTACACAAGAACAGGAAGCTCTGGGGTAGGGCCCAGCAGAGGGCATAAAACCAGGGCACTCTCAGCATCTCAGCCCTTTTTCTTCTTCACCCAACATCTGGGATCATGTGATCCCCCTTTTCTGTTCAGGAACTCAAGCCATGTGATCCTATCCACCATTAAACCATCTTTCCAAGCGGGCTCCATGTTTCCAGTGTCTTTTTCCCCACTTGGAACTGAACCCAGAAGGATAATTCTTCAAACACATGAAATTGGCCTATATTAAAGGAAATCCTAACATTTGTTGGAAAACAACAATACTTCTATGCCACAATCATGAGAAACATTCCAGTAGAAAAAGAATACATTTTAAGTCCAGCTATTGTTGTCTCACATTGTTGTGGCTCAGTGGCTAAGACGCTGAGCTTGTTGATCAGAAAGGTAAGCTGTTCCGGTGGTTCGAATCCCTAGCGCCGCGTAATGGAGTGAGCTCCTGATACTTGTCCCAGCTTCTGCCAACCTAGCAGTTCAAAA